GACGCAGCCGAAGGACGCTGCTCAGCGCCCAGCCACGGGAGCGCTTTAGACGCCAACCTCTTCGAAAGCATCCTTAAGCGAGGGACCCCGCGACTTTCAGAGGGGGTCTGAACCCCACGTCTCGATGATGCAAAACCAATGCACCCCCCCAAAGGGCTTAAAAAGCAACCCCGACGTCATGCCATGGGCTGGTTTCTGACATCGCTGCCCTCCCCGTCACGAAGGGGTCCCCACGTCCCTGGCCGAGCCAGGGCAGGCTCCGCTTCAGCACGCGAAACAAGTCTTGTAATGCAACGGACTCTGTTTCAGGAGCACCCAGTGCGTGTCCTGGCTCCATCACAAGGCCCAAGGGAGGGTCTGCAGCTCCCCCCGGAGAGGTTTCGGCTGTTCTCCTCTCTAGGATTAGGCTGATTGATGCTATCCTGCAGCCACAGCAGCAAAGCTTCCCCTCTCCTTCCCACGCACAGTATATAACCCCCCCCACCCCCTCGGTGTTCCTGTTGCAGCAGGCAGTCTTCAACTTCAAGGATATTCTTCCCCACCCCAGGGAGCTTTTTCTAAGTCCCTCACATCAAGAAGAAAAATGATAATCAGGCTAATTCAGACTTGCAAAACTGATGATTAAAAACTCCAAGCCCTAAGGGGATGAGGTGCGGACACAGAGGAAGAAGGCAGCGTGGATCATCCCACCTCTGCCTTCAGGAGGACGCCTGGCCAGGCGTGGGGAGCATCGCCTTGCCCGAGGAGCCCACGCTCGAGTCACCGTGCTCTCTGGTCCCCTGGCAGCAAAAGGCTTTCGCTCCCTCTGCGGCGAGGAGCGTCCTGGTGCACCCACCACACGCTTGGACAGAAACCTCCAGCAGCTGGGGGTCTGCAGGGCAGGGAGAGAACAGGGTCACCCGCTCCCAGCTCGTGTGCTGGGACGTGCCCAGGGGCGAAGATGAAAGAAGGGAAGAGGGTCCCATCCCACCAGCCCTCCGGGTCCCGGTGTGGGTCACTCCTTTGAGCGGAGCCGGCTCAGGGCTCCGACACAGCAACTGACCCACCAGCCCCCTCTGCTCACACCAGTGGGACCAGCTCAGGGCTGACCCAAGCGCTGGGAGCAAATGACAGAAATACAAAAGGACATAAAAATGCACTTTCTGAATAAAAAAAAAAGGCAAAATGGGGCACGAGCGCTCAGTTACTCTGGTGCTTCTGTCACCAACGCGTGCAGCACAGAGGGAGCGCGACTTCAACTTCACAACACAAGCTCAAAATCCAACTAAACTGGAAAGGGAAAAGGCGAAGGAGAAGCCTGGAGAAGAGAAGGCTGCGGGGAGACCTGATTGCAGCCTTTCAGTGCTTAAAGGGAGCCTATAGGAAAGATGGGGACAATCTTTATAGTAGAGACAGCAGTGACAGGACGAGGGGTAATGGTTTTAAACTAACACAGGGTAGGTTTAGGCTGGATATAAGGAAGAAATTCTTTACAATGAGGGTGGTGAAACACTGGCACGGGTTGCCCAGAGAGGTAGTGGAGGCCCCATCCCTGGAAACATTCAAGATCAGGGTGGACAGGGCTCTGAGCAACCTGATCTAGTTAGCGGTGTCCCTGCTCGCTGCGGGGGGTTGGACGAGATGAGCTCTAGGGGTGCCTTCCAACCCATAACTTTCTATGATTCTATGAAGGCAAGGGGAGCAAGAGGGAGAGCAGCGGGCGATGCTGGTGCACAGAGCTCAGCCCTGGAGTCCGCGGCATCAGGCGCTCAGGGGTGGGCTTACCCAGAAGCTCACCTGCCCCTTGGGGTCCTGAGTCTCAGCAGGGCTCACGCCCTCTCGGCGCTCCCAGCCCAACGCCGCTGGCTGGATTCGCGGCCTCACAGCACGCCCGGCACTGCCGAGGGTCTGGCGGAGATAGGAGCCTTCAGCGTGCTTCACGCAAAGGTGCGCAGGGCTCATCACGGAGGGCATCAGCTGCTGCCAGGGCTGTCTCTGCTCGAGGAACCTCCACCAACACCACGGCGGCAGCGGGGTCTGAGCCAGGGCACGCACTCCACCTAAACCCCAACCCCACTCACGGCAAACACCCTGCAAAAGCCGTATTCTTCCGAAGCAGACCTTGCAACCACAACCCAGCAGAACCCACGCACGAGTTACCAGCGAGCAGCAGCCTGTCCTGAACCGGAGCGTGAGCTTACAGAACGCGCCTTGCAGCTACGTGGGGGGCTGCTCGTCCCCCAGCTCCGGCTTCGCAGCTCCCGACCAGCCCGGGAAGGGACGCGCAGCGAACCCAGGTCTCCAGTGCAGAGCGCAGTCGCGTTGCTGCATCGCTCGGGGAAACTCGCGACGGCAAACTTTCTTCCTCCTTGAAATCTCGCACGCGAGGGAATTCTGGAGAGCGTTCTGGCAGTCCAGGCTTGCGCCGAGTTGCAGAAGGGTCGGGTGCCGTCGTGATGCTCTGTCCTCCCAGTGCTCAGCTGGGCTGAGAGGGCAGAGACCACCACCCAGCATCCAGCAACTTCTCTGGTGAGAGGAGCCAAACCATCACCTAGGTCCCACCACCCGCCTCTGATGCAGAATCCAGCAACAACACTGCTTCCTCCCGCGAGTCCATCACTCAGAGCAGACAGCTCAGACCAACACACATTTTAACCGAAAGCGAGCAGCAAAGTCTGTGTTCCTCAGGCACTAGAAATTAAACACAGCTTGCAGCCAGACCTTGGCTCAGCTGGCTTGCAGGCAGGCGACGTTTGGGATCCTTTACCAGCAGCTATCCATCTCCTAACTGGAAAAGATGACTTCCCTGCCTGGCATTGGAGCCAACATAATTTGATTTTAAAACCTGCAGCATGGTGCAGAAGTAGAAATCCTTCGCAGGACAGCTCGACCCGTCCGTCCCTGAAGAGGGAACGGCACAGGAGCCCTCAGGGTCCGAACAGTTAACATTCTCATCCAAACCCACACGCTGTACGCCGCGCTGCTCCGGGTAACCCCCCGCAACGCTCGCGAGCTACAGCTATCCGAAACATGCCCTCCCGCCTGGCAGGGCCATCGCTCCTCCGCGGGGCTCAGGCGCTTGCGAATCCCCGCTGCTCCAGGAGGCTGCGGGCCCAAGCACCCCCCGGTCCGTAACCGCGGCGAGCGACAAACGCGCTCTTTTCCCCGACGTGCTGAAGCAGAGTCAGAAGTTTGGGAGTCTCTGAGCATGGAATCCCACAGGGGTCTGCGTAACCCATCGGCCGAGGGAAGGAGCGCTGGGTGTGAAGCTGACAGCAGGGAAAAATTCTGCATTTTCCTTCGCTGCTCCTTCAGCCATATGTGAAGCAGACCGGGGGCTGGCAGCGGCGCTGCCTGCTGACCCAGCGGTCTGGGATCCGTGGCAGACCCAGGGCAGGGTGCCCACGTGCCGTCCCCGTCCCTGCGCACCCCGACAGAGAGCAGCTCCTCCTGCTCCACGAAGCCTGTGGGCTCTGTCCGGGCAGGGGGACCAGGACAGCTCAACGTATCAGGACGGCAATTTAACAGGTGCTCTCACACCACCTTCATTAGCCAACACCACAATTCACCAGCCAAGACTTTAACAAAACATCTTTAAATGGGCATTTTAAAGCAGCGAAGGATTCATGCAAAGTTCTCCCATATTCTTGTTCACCATACACGAACACGACACACATCAGAGCCACACACGGAGCTGACACGTTGCATCACCACCTGAAGAGTTACTGGCAATGTAAATAATCAGCTCATCCTCCGCAGAGCTGTCTTCAAGCCTCAAATTAAACGCCTGTTTGGCGACCATTTCACGTTATTTATTTTATACACATCCTGGACAGAAGGCTCAGGGCAAATCCCGGTTTGGCTGCGCCCGGGTTTCTCGCTGGCCCTGTGAAGTTCGCTGCGGTCCCTGGCCACCCTCTGCCCCGCCAGCCACACCTCGAGGACCGCTCGCATCTCGCCTCGCGTTTGCCCAAGCGGCGCCCCCTGGCCACCCTCTGCCCCGCCAGCCACACCTCGAGGACCGCTCGCATCTCGCCTCGCGTTTGCCCAAACTCCCGGGGAGCACGACAACGCCGCGACTTCTGACACCGAGGTTATTAAAACAGGCTTCCAATAATATTTTTGTGCTGAATAATCAGGTTAAGGAAAACACCCTCCAGGAAGTTCTGGCTGTGACTTCACGCTCGAGGCGATCGCTGTCCCGAGCTCCGGGGGAACTGGCAGCTCCTCTCCAAGGGTACGGAACCGCGCGGAAAAGGAGCAGCAGCCCGCAGAGCGGCTCCCA